GTTTCTCCTTATTTCTAGTTTAAATCTCTCCTTGTTCAATTTTCATTCATTATTCCTTGTCTGGCCTACAGGTCTCTTAAGTTTGTTTTCTCAAATTGTAGGAATTGCTCCCACCCGCCAATGCTGTACTGCAAGCTGTTTTTGGAACCAAGTAAATTTAAAGGCAAACTATGGTACTTTGATGGAAAACAGACCTGGAAAGAAATTTATTTATGCATGTGTACGTGCACACAAGACAAACACATACTCTTAATGTTACACTATATTTAAGTTATTATTAAATTGTCATTGATTATATACCATCAAATAATTTTCAACTCCAAATAACAACATCAATAGATATCCTCCATCATGATCTAATCTGTTCTTTCAGATCTCCCAGTAGTGTACTCATTGCTACCATAAGTCCATCCTCCTTGGGGCTTCTCTTTCTTTCCATCTTTCACAGCCTTAAGAGCCTTTTCCAGATATCTGGTTCCTCATAAAACGTATCCAATTTGAGCCTAGTCCTTTGTGTTATCAGTGAGAACTCTGGGTTGATTTTTTTTGATGATCCATCATTTTGATTTCTGGATTGCTCATGTCCCCAAAGGTGCTTTTCTAAAGGCAATTGGATTTCCTTGATTTTTTTTTCTTGAAAATGCTTTGCTTCTTATCCAAGAAGCTTCTTCAGTTCTGGTTAAATCGTGGGGAATGGAAGGATTTATTTTTTCTTAGCAGTCATCTGGTTGTTAGCATTCTGAAGTTTGGTCGTTGGCTCACTGAGAGTTGTTGAAGCCACTGTGGGGTTTATTTGTATGCTCAAAGTCACCTGAATCAGAGTGCAAATGGATGTGGTACCTTCTTGGGACTGCTGAAATGACTGTGTTGTAGACAGGAGATAGATGATGTGAAGTGGTGGTTTTGTTTCACCAATGTACAGATCTGCGCATTGCATAGCATACCACATTGCTCAGTTTATGTCTGGGTGTTTTATCCTTGGAGGCCCCTTGTCAGTCAACAGGAGTACTGGTTTACCACCAGCTTTATCAAGTACTTAGGAGGCAAGGGCTTGGGCAGCGCAAGGAATCAACAGCCAACGACTTAATAGCTGGCCATCAACACCCCAATCACAATCAAAAACTTACATACAACCAGGCACTATATACAGTAAATACCATCCACAGAATAATCCAAAGCATACACTCTGCTAGAGAGAAGTTCCCTGAGAACGGGCTCCAGCACGAGTCCGAAAGCTCAGAATGTTAAACCTCTGGTCCTGATAACCAACCCAGATTGGATCCTGTACACATAATACACTTTCCTGCTCTTATTTTGCCCACAACAACAACCCTGTGAGGTGAGTTGGGTTGAAAGAGAGTTACCAGAGTTACCCAACTGACTTTCATGTGTAAGACAGGACTAGAACTCAGAGTCTCCTAGTTTCTAGACCAGCACCTTAACCACTATACCAAACTGGCTTTCTGGTTTGCTCTTCAAAACCACTGCTTCCAAAATGGCCAATTTCTCATGTCTGTTTTTGATAATTCTGATCAACCAAATGAAAAACTGGCACTTTGGGGTTGTTCAAACATGGAGCAGAATATATATTTCAGAGTTTTTTGTTCCTGATAGAATCAAAAATTCAGCTATTTTCATGTAGAAAATTTTTATTTCTGAAGTAGCTGCTGTGTGTGGTTAAGTGGTCTTTGTGATTGTCTCTTACAACTGAAGTCTTGGATTCTCCTGTTCGAGGCAAGTTGCTATTCCATTCTTGTGGGGAACTGAACCTGATGTGATGGGAGAACACCAAATATCCTTCCATATACACATTTAATGTTGAGGGAAGGGCATCAAATTTAGTTCTCTCCTTGTCGTTTTAGTTGTCTATATCAAATATGTAAGGAACCAGCAGCTCCTCTATGGCAGTTGCAGACACAGATCCATTTTTCACAGTCCCTTGAGTTCTCAAGTTCATATTATTGTAAATTGGTGACAAGCCACTGAATAATGGTGTAAGGAACACACATTTCTATTCCATCACTTTATAAGCAATTCCTTATTGCTTTGGACATAAATATCATTAAAACATAAAACAAAAATGTATTTACACTTTCAAACTTCTCAAGAGCATGAGTGAATGTACCTTGTAGATTTTCATATGAAATACATACTTTTCTTTTAAAAGAAATTTCAGAATAACACATGAAGTCATGTGAATGCCTAGAACACATGGGATATGAGCAGAAGTAGAGCACACTAAAAAAAATCTGTGATAGTCAAGTTAATTCCTTATCTAGCAATGACTGACTAACTGACTGAAACAAAAAGAAAAGAACAAAAGAAGTCAAATTCCAAAAAGTAACTCCTCCTATATCTTCCTTACACTGTATTGATCTTTTTGCTGTGTTTGTCCCAGCACATCTATTTTATGGGGCCAAAATATCATCACTTAACAATGTATTTAAAATTTTTCCAGTGAGTGATTTTTTATGATTTGGGTATTGCACAAACTGTGAAATTAGCTAAGAAGGGGATGAGAAAATGGATATGTTCCAAGTCAGATGGCATCCATTATTCCATAACAGAACTGCAGACAGATGTCTCCAATTACACATATATGATGTTAAAGTTCATTGGACATTATATTTCATATCTACTTGTCCTTTACTAATCATTTATAATTATGACATGAAACACTTACCATTTATCATTATAGTATTGTGATTATTCAAGCCATTTCTGTTCAAAAATCAAATGGTAAAATGGAAGCTAGAGCCAGATAGTGAATAAATAAGATACAGATATCATAATGACTGAGCGATACGCTCTGATATTCAGATGGTCTTCAACCCGGGAATATGAATAGGCAAAGCCTTACTTTTTATAGAACTTAAGTTCTTTTATATAAAAAGCAATCCTTTATCATTCAAGTACATGTTCATTAAGCTGACTAGACAAATGACACCAGAAATATACAGGCTGTTATAACATTGGGGAAACCATTAGTTGGTTTCTACAAAGATGGTAGTTTCACTGATCTCAGATGCCCATGCATTTGTGATTTTGAACTCCCTTAGGATTTTTCAGGGGCATTTTCTGCTCAGCAGACCAAGATGCCTCAGAATCATTTCTTTGTAAATAACTTTCCATATGATTTAAACTCAGCATGCTACTTGGTGAGATAGTCTGCAGGTAAATTAGACTGATTATTGGTTTTATTTGAAATGCTACGCATATCCTTCCAGATTATAACTTTTCTTGAATACATTCCTTTTTGTAGATAGATAACTAAACTGCATTATTTTAAAAGAGAATTATTTCCTTAAAATATTTTCCAACAGTGAAGTTCCGAGTATAGGACCTCACTGTTGCAAAGCCCACTTTTGTTTCTTAAGATATTACATAGCTATTAATAATATATTTCCCTATTTTTGAGTTACAGCATGCTCCAATCACGTTTTGAGTTTGTATGAATTTGACTGTCTCCATTGCTGATTCTTATGGTGCTTCTCTTACCTCTATTCCCATGTACTGCGAATCTATTGATTTATCTGCAGGGAAATGGGGGATAAACCCTAACAGATTTTACACCTTCCTTGGACAATAGATGAAGATAGAGATAAAGATAAGGAGTTAGGCATTTTTTTGGCTTATGTATGTTTAAACAGTATAATGAGTATTACTTAAATTCGACAAATGTGATACACTAATATTGTTATGATGAATTGGATTAATATGAATGATACTCAGAACCATCTCTGTTCACACACAATATGGATGTATAATGAAAACAATAATAATAAAAATACATATTTAAAAAAATAAGAGGAAAGGACTCTTACTTAAACCAATACAACTGTAGACAATTTAATTTCACATATAAGATGGGAACAAAACCAAGGCAACACCCTGGGATCATGGCAGAAAAAACAATCTTGCTATGGCATGTTGGTATAATTGTTAGATGTAAGTGGAGAAAGGCCCTTACTATGTAATTGTTTACTTAGCTTTGGGCAGCACCTTCTAATTTTCTTCTAAACAGTGGACTGAAGAAAGAAGTCTCAGAATTATATAGAATTAACCATTGGAAGAGACATTGGAGATCATCTAGTCTGGCCCAGTATAGGAGTCAGAGGTGGTATTCAGCAGATTCTGACCTGTTCTGGAGAACCGGTAGTGGAAATTTTGAGTAGTTCAGAGAACCGGCAAATGCCACTTCTGACTGGAGATTTTACAGTATCCTTCCCCTGTCACACCCACCGAGCCACGCCCACAGAACCAGTAGTAAAAAAAATTGAATTCCACCACTGATAGGAATCCGCCATGATGTCCATGTGGGAGGTGTTTATCCCATATCTGTTTAAGTATGTCTAGCAAAGAGACTCACTTGACCCATTTCCAGAGACAATCTATTAGCATTTTTTCCCTGATTGTCTTTTCTGAAGAATTGTCTTATATTATAGCCTTACCAAAAGCCAAATATGGCTATATTTTTCCCCTATTATCTTCTTTTCCCCAGGATAAACAGACTTTCTGTTTTTTGCTCCAGGGCACTCAAATCCCATATCCCACTGGGATGTTTTAAGGAAGAATCAATATAAAGTGGCAAATATTTTTTTTAAAATTAGGCAGTGAAGATGAATGAATATAACCAATATTATATGTTGTGAATTCAGTATCTCCTCAGCTGTTAGATGCCATATTCAGACTAGTGTCTATTGTGTAAAGATATTATATTCATGTGACTCTTGTACCTGAGATTACAAGGCACATTTCTCTGATAGCACCTGTTCCCTGTATGCCCATAGTACTTTAAACAAAGTAGTATATAATTTTGACAACAGCAAAGCTAGTTGAAACATCAGATATAAAAATGTATTAAGGTTCACTGTGCTTGAATATAGACACATATGTCAGATTGATTCTTCTGGAAGAATATAGCATACAATTGGTCTGTATTGCATTAAAAAAAAGAAACAAAATAAAATGTGCATTTTGATTTGTTTTCTGTCTTTCAGGGTATCAATGTGTCTCCTCAAACATCACTGGCTTTAAATTATGATTCAAGAGTGATTAAGGAGAAATACGAACAACAGGCCACGGATCATCAGGAGTATGAAAATGAACTGTCCATCCGGATAGGTAGAACAGCTTTACATTCAGGCAAGCATCCTGTCATATACCATCAAGTTAATACAATAGTAGCGTGCATAAGTATATGTATGTGCATATGCACATCCTACATGTGGGTATGTCACCGAAAAAAAGAAAATGGATAGAGGTAGGGCAGCTTCTTTCTTTGGTATTTTTCATCCGCTAAATTTCTACCTTGGATCCTAATACTTGCATGTCCTATTAACTGTTTAGGATGCTCTTTGCTTTGGAAGATGGTTATCCTATTTGGAATGATGAATTCTGATTCTTTGATATTCATGTAAGCTCTCTATGAATTCAGTGAGTTCCTTGTTTATTTCCTCTGTGACTTCCTTCACTTGGCCTGGTTGGGGGTTACTTACCAGCTGGTGGAATAGTAAAGTAGTATGCTAACTATCCACTGCTAAGCACGGTCGAAGTCCTCTTCCTTAGTAATTCTTATTAAGATAATAGTTTCCCTGTTGCTGAGAGATTTAGGGAGAATTATCCCTAATTGTAATCCTAATCAGTAAAAACAGGCTTGCGTTCACTGCCCCTCGCACTTTCTTGCCCACTCCGTTGCTTTTACCTGTCCATTAAACAGCGCTTTGGCAAGCTGGGAAGGGCATAGTAGCCCCAATTGGCATAAAGGTGGAAGGCAGAAATGGATGTCCTTAGATTCTTTCCTGGAATTCAAGCTTAAAAAAATGGGATACATTATTACTTTGTAGGTCTGGTTTGGAACCTGCGTTGGGACCACTCCATTAGATAAAAAAGCAAGGGACACAAAAATAAGGATGGAAATTACAAGTTAGATAGTACACAATCTTTTGTGTCACAAAAAATGGTATAAGTTAGATTCCATTGTATAGTCCTGTATTTCCACTTTATGTAAATCTTTCACATAGAATTCTAATATTCCACAATATTTTCATTCTCTATTTGCTGGACATTATAGAGATACAAATGTATTGACTTGTTTGTTTGCTAAGGTGAACACTGACTACAGGAACCAATTACATGCAGTAGTGGTAGCTCTAAACCCAGAAACCATCTTTTAAAATAATTGCTTCAGTACTCAGTATTTCATGAGGCACATAAGAACCCTTGGTTGTTGTTTTTTAAATGAGGAATCTCTTTTAGGCAGTTTAAATTGATTTAAGGGAGTGGTTATCCCTTCACATAGAATGATGAAAATAAATTAAAAGTTGACTGAACTGCAAATTGTGATTCAGAAAGCAGTTCAATCAACTTCCTTGGGTTTGCAGGAATTGAAGAGCATTTATTTTCCAAAAATGAAACAAATAAACCAAAACCCATCTTCTTCCCTAACATCTTTAGCATATTGGTATTCACATCAGAATTTTTTTTGTCAATATACAGGATGAAAACTATTGGGGGAACTTTCCCCCCTGCTATGGATTGTTTACTTTTCTCTCTGCCAGAGAAAAAAAGATTGCTTTTTTCCTGTCTCACATTTTAATATATGAAAAAGACACAAATTGGGACTGGTATGCTTTCTTTCTTCAGAGACATGTTATGTTCTGGCCTGTAGGGATGAACACTGTGTATAAATGCAATGAATCATGACTATCGAGGAGGGCAAAGACAGAATACTAACCATAAGTTTAATAAGTTTACTTTATATTTCTAAAAGTTGCAATATGTTTATGTCTACTTTCTTTGAGCACCCTTGGAATTCTAATAGCCCATAGCAGTCTGCAAATATTTGTCACAACATGGAGATGCAAATGAGTAAACACAATCCAATCCTTATGTACTTGCATGTGACATCAGAATGAAACCGTATGCAATTACTCTCAAGGTAATTTGTCAAGGCTTCCAGGAATTCTCTAGCGTTTTTTGGACTTGACTTGTCTAGGATGGTCATGGTTTCCCAGTTGAAACTATGGTTAAGTCTGTCCAACTGTTGTAAAATTAAGGAGCTTTCATCATGTCTTCTGACTGCTAGTTGGTGTTCATGGATGGATTCTGCTAGTCTTTTGCCTGTTTGTCTTATGTGGTAGCTGTTGCAGTCTTTACACTGTAAACTTTTCATGGCAATCCAACAAATCACCCATCAATTGATTCACAGACATAAACAATATTGACATACTATGTAAAAGAGACAACAAACAAGCCAAAATAGGATAAAAAAGACCAAAACATTTTCCCACCAACAATCAACACCCAGTTGAGCATAGATTGATACCAAGTTTAACATCAGATCAACAATCAAGAAATAAACAATACCCTAATTAAGCTAACAGCAAACCATCAAACCAAATAACTTCTAAAACCATTCCCACCAACACTGACAGGGAAGCCACTAGAATAGAAATTGAGAGCAAACCCCATTCCTTACTAGTATTGATAATGTTACCTACTTTGGGTAATGAAACATCTGTAAGAAAACAGCCAAGCTCAGAGAGCATCAAGGAGTCTATATCAATCCAGAGCTACAAAATTCTCCTTTATCAGTAATATATGAAAGAACTAAATTATCAGTTTATAAGTCAATCTCCCACAAAATTCTGCTCAGCCACTTTGCAGCCCTTGACCATGCTAAGGTTATCCACCTCTTTATCTTCATGTGAACTAAGGAGGGGCTTGAGTGAGAACTTTACTCGAGTCAATTTCTTGGTTGACTACCTTTGCCTTGGTGGTGGCTCTTTCTCGTGTCCTTCAAGGCCATTCCCTATGTCTTCTCCATCTTTGGCTATGTTTTTTTTTTTTTTAATATATTCCTTTCAACTGTGGGGGATGTGAGGAAATCCATCTGTAGGTATCTAGCATTTTGTCCCCATGGTGATGCAGAAATCTATCATTGTGTATCACAAAATCTAGAAAAGCATTTTACCCTAAAGCCAACAATGAAAGGAAATCATAGATTGGATCCCTGCCTCATCTCAAAATCTAAAATATGTTGCTCAGGGTAGACTAAAAAGAAAAACAAACTGAGAAACGGCAAGGATGAATTGAACAAACATATTAAATTCTTAGGTTTAGACCACAGGTGTCAAACTTGTGGCATCATGGCAGTGTCACATCACATATAGGGACTTTTCCCCCTTCACTAAACCAGGCGTGCGCGTGGCCAGTGCATTATGCATCCGGCCCACAGCTGGATTAGACTGTCAGATATTTCTTCACAAGGATACTTGTGAAGCAGCGTCCAATCAGACCAGTAAAAATATAAATCAATAAAGTGTTCACCTTATGATGGGTTCTGGTACGGCCTGTAGAAGTACTGGTGCAAGGTTAGATATTCCTATTTTGTTCTTATCAAAGGTTGGCAGGTAATCTTGCTTGGTGCTTGTTGAGGTAATTCCCTGTTAGGAGAATGAGTGCACACAGGGAGACGTAGTGAGAGTGGTGAGGAATAACACACAACCAGCACACAGATACACTGTATAGTAAAATGTAGGTTTTTACTTCCAGTAAACGGTTAAACAAAGTCCAACAAGCAGTCCAAGTCATACACGGTTATAGCAGTCAGTTTTCAGTCCAGGGATAATCCAATAACAAAATCCAGTATCAAAAACAGTTCAATAAAATACTCACATCAAATCCAAGAATAACGATGATCAGCAACAGTCAATGGGGAAATGCAGGAATGGCAACACTCCCTGGGAAACCAGGTTTCTGGCTCCATCTTATGGCCGTTTGAGGAACCACACCCAATTACCATTTTAGCATTCCCTTAAAGAGACAGTATTAAAATGTCTATCCTGGTTTATATATTTCCAACCCAACTGTTAGGTGACTTACATTCCTAACAGTGCTGGAGCATAAAAAGCCACTGGGGGGAATATTTCAGAGTTTGAAAATATTCTTCAGCCCTATAGAAGGCAGAGTAATGTAAATTTCAACATGATAGGAAGTGCAAAGGGAGAAGATGTTTGTTTTGGAAAAATCCCTCTGGAATCTATTCTTTTATTTACAGAAATGGTTCAAGTATATACATTTACTTTGCCAAGTTCTCTTCCACAACCTCCCTACAGTCTTTGAATTGACAGCCAGGAGATAAAACAGGACTTCTGTTTAAAAAATGCATAATCCATCAGGCTTTAATGACAAAAAGTAGTTGCAAATTCAGATGTGCACACAGTATTTCTAAACTTTAAAGTGATATCTGTAGCACAGGTTTTGAGGGAGAATGGTTTCTCCTGTAAGATTGATTAGAGTATAACAAAATGTAATTACTTTATATTCACTGAGATATTTCCCTAATGAAAAAGACACCCTAGAATGGAATATATGAATTTATATATCTTTGACTAACTTGGGCTTTATCAGAATATGCTCTTACAACAATGTGGTGTTGTGATTTGTGGAGTTAACACTTTTGAGGTTAACGAGCGTTTCCATCTGTGATTAGGTGTATAGCTTTCTTGATTTAAGACTACCTTAAATAATATAGTATAATAACTGAAAGCCTAAAAATGGCAACTTGTCACCCGAACTGCAAGTCAAATAGAAACTCCACATGTTGCCTTGGCTACCTAGTTGCCACACCAGGAGGATCTTTTTAGGGGATCAGAGGCTTCTGCCTGGTGAAATATGACATTTTCCCTGTGTTAAGTTTTCCAAATCAAAGGAGGTATTTATAGAGGATGATATTTCAAGGTAGTTCAGAATGTTGTGTGAATAGTGCTCTGCCACCAAGGAGGACTGAGATGAAGTCAGGAGCTCACACAAAATGAGATGCTAGTACTGAATGCTGTAAAATGGTTTGTTTGTATTGGATATCCTCCCCCCATTGTCTCTGGGTAGATCACAATTTTTTTTCTGTTTGATTTATGGACGGAATCTTCTATTGTATTAGACGTATAAATTAATGATGGGTCTACTGGATAAATACTCACTAAGACAAAAACAGAATTCACAGTGCAGTCAGGTGTGTCAACAGGTAATAGATTTCACCTCCATGTAGCCATCTATTGTTGAGGTAATCATTGGAGCTCCAAAACTCCAGATCATCTAGTTCTGGAAATTCTTACATTTATGAGCTGAGTGATTCCCATTAC